CATGTTGAGCACCTTTCCACAGCGTCATTTCAAGCTGCTTACCTTTGTCTCAGATTACAAAGTGAGAGAGGCCAGCGCAGCAGGACGTTCTTACGGACATGGTGTGGTAGACCACGGATATGGTGCAGTGGGCTGCAGCTGCTGGACAGCGCTCCTGTCCCCATGGAGCTCTGGATGGCAGACTCAATGCGCTGGTAGAAACCTGGGAAATCTTAGGCTGTCTTTTTCTGGAGGTTTTTGCAGACATAGAAAAGGTAAACTAGAGGACTGTGAGGGTGCAGTGGATGGTTAGAGAAGAGGTGGATGAAGTGAAGATCTGAGATGGGCTAAGCAGAGTGAAACATCATTGTTGAAGTGAGAAGAAAGTAATCAATCTAGCCTAAGTTGGGGTGGTTGTGGAAGGAGCATCTGTTATGAGCTGGAGGAGGCCAGGACAGAGACTTAAGACAAGGGGAGTGGGGCTGAAGGTGTAAGTGGGTAGAGGAATGTCTTAGGAGATATGTCTTGGTGGCACAGGGTGTGGATGACACTTGAAAGTCTTGAGGAGATGTGATGTCTGAATCTAGTGATTTCCGTCCAGATCTTAGTTACACAACAAAAATGTACCTTGCACCTCAGTGCTAAGAAATTTTGTGGATTGTAGCAATCTCCTTGAACATGTTCTTTCTGGAGTTTATTTGTGGTAGTCTTAATGAGCGTCTAAAACAATTCAATCATACATTTGTTTCACCACAAAAGAAAATGCACAGATAGTGGTATATGTTACAAAGCTGTAGTAATGTATCCACTGTTGCCTAAAGTAACCTAATAGTCTGGGCCTTTTCTGTGGTTTTATTTCCCACCCCATCACAACAGTAGGGGTCTCCTTCTAAGTCTATGTAATTTAAGATCTGAGAGCAAGAGAGAAGTATCTAAAATTTGTGTAGACAAATTGAAGACTACTAACCAGGCTGTTTACCAGTGCAAGCTCTGTATTCTTCAAAAAAATTCTTAGCTTCACGTGTTTTTTCTCCTTATCTGGAGTACTGCCGCAGACAAACCATGCTGGTTCGTTGTGTCATGATAGCTGGGTGAAGAATGTTGGTGACTAGATTGGTGCTTTTGCTAAAAGACAGAAAAGAGACCTTGCTTGGAGGGTCTTATTGTCCTGAAGAGATCTTTGACAAGAGAGGGGAGAAGAAACTCCCCCCAAAACCAGTACACTCCCCCCACCCCCAAGAAAAACCCCACCACCAACCACAAAAAAAAGCACCACACCAAAATAAAACAACAAAAATATCCTAAACCATCAATCAGGGCATAATAATCAAAATTGTTGTGATATGGAAATACTTCTGGTACAACCTTATTAAATGATAGAATATAGCATATTCCTATATTCCAGGCCCAAACAGGATATTGCCAGGAGAGGACTCACACAGTGTATTAGCTCTGTGGGTCTAGTGCATGGAAGTGAATTTAATCATAATGGCAGTTTTTTCTTTCAAAAGTGACTTTGTATAAATGTTGTCACTTTATTTGGTGCAACAGTTTCTTTGGTGCATTGTGGCATTTTTGCTCATTTCAGTGTGATAGAGCTACCTTTTACAACTCTGGTCCTTTAAGTGGGCTTGGAGTGAGCAATAGAACTTGTTTCTCACGCTATTAGTAGGTTGAAAATGATGTGTTTGATAGATATTACTAAAGACTTAAGCTCAAGACAAGAGTTGTGCCAGTCTTAAAAATAATATATTTAAAATCTCATCAAGTTGGATTCTGTCTCCATTCTGCTGTTAGAGATACCGCTCTTTCTTTCAGTAATGAAGCTAGATGTTTAAGAAAGTAAAATATCATAAAATTATCAATAATATAAACACTAGTGGGACTGATCAGTGTTACATTCAACCAGAAGGAGTGAGTATATTGTATAACCTGTGGTAAGATCCTGCAGTGAATTAGATCTGTACACTGCTCCTGGGCGTTTGGGCCCTCACAAATGTATGTTGAACAGTCTGGCTTTCAGTGTGTTCCTGGGTTTTGTCTTAATATCTACAATTTTGTCCCAACACATGCTTTAAAAGTTCAGGAGGAAAACTAGCAGATGATGAGAAACTTTCTTTAAAAATAGTTCAGACCAACAGTTTTAGACTTTGGATTTACATTTGTTTGTTTCTTTCCTACCTTATCAGCTGGGAAGGTTCCTTTGTTGTCTGTTTGCAGATAAACTTTAACTGAAACAGCCAATACACATACAGATCTTTTTTGGCCCTCTGGTGTTTTAGTGGCTTAGGGACCATCCATACAGTTCAAAGAGTTCAGTGATGAATCATCTTCAAAGAAGAGAATCATTTTCATGGGTTCCTCCAGATTATACAAGAGACTATTTTTAGATCAAGGATTTTTTTTTTCCCCCCCTTCGAGCTATAAGACACCTGTGGCCTTGACTTAGATTTCAAAAATGTGCTGTTCTGAAAGTAACTCCTTTAAGGCCATACTTTCATGTTCATTTTATTGTTATTTTTCATTTGGTTGCAAGTAGCCTGTAGACAGCTTCAAATTGAAAAGGGCTCTGTAGTTCTGTAGCTTACCAGAGTCTTATCAGAGAATGCTGTTTTCCTCCATGGTTAATGCAGATAATTGCCTGTGAAAGGATGACCCTTAATTACCATGCTAATGCATATTTTCTGATATCAATACATAATGCAGTTTTACAGTATCTCAGACTTTGATAGGTATGTTTACAGGTTGATGTTTTATGATACACATACAGTTTTTGGCATACAGCATGTTAAACATCAATTGAGTAAAGAATATCTTCTTGTTTAATTTGGGAACTCATGTAGTATAGCTGTACAGGATCCACTAGAACAATGAAGAAAAATGGAGGCAACTTGCTCACAGTTGCAAGGTGTTTCAGTTTGTGTTACTGATGTTGTAAACTGGGTACTAGACATGTATGATCATCTTTGAATTTGGGCTGGAGAGCTACTCCTACAAATTAAAATACAAAACTGTGTTCAGTGATACAATGCTGAAAACTTTGTGCCTTTTTGCACTTCCAGCCTGCAATTCATACATGTTGTCTGGTAAAACTGGCCAAATTCACATATTACCACTCTGTATGTTAGAATGCAAATCTTGCTCCTGGAGAGACTTCACTGACATCAGTGAGATGAAGATCTGGCCTTTTTCAGATAGGAAGATAGCAATGGGCAAAAGGCTATTCAAATTTTCTGATTGTTTTCCCAGGTTTTATTTCTAATCCAAATGATTTGGCCCTGGTATCTCCTATTCTGGTTAATGGGCTGTCAGGGACCAGAAGAGCTGGCAGCATATCTCCCACACAGCCCTTAGCTGTTTTAGCTGTAGCTAGTTGTTGAGATGGGCAGTGCTGCATCTCCAGATGCTTCCTTCCTAACTCTCCCTGATAAATGTTTAACATACCTTGACGAGTAAATAGATAGTGGCATGGCATAGGTGCAGCATAGCAGATCTGCATCACTTGGAACGTCAGCTGCGCGCGCGTCTTGCTACCGCTCCCTTTTGTTGATCTGCCACACTCTGGATTTTTATTTTTCACTTGTTCTTTTAGGATCACTGAAGAGGATAGCCTGTCTTCTTTGGATGATGGGCAATGCTTTTTTTTTTACATTTGTATGCATACTTGGTGTATGCTTGTGTGCAGGTTGGATGAGCCACCTTCTAGTATCTCTCTTCCAGTTTTGGTTGTTTGGTTTTTTTCCCCCATTCTACCAGTTGCAGAGGCATTGCTGTTGCTGAGAATGGGATCAAAGCAAGATACATTTAAATGTGTGGACATTCTTTGTTCTTTTTGGTCACAGTTCGCATCCTGTGTCTACCCACTGCCGCGTCTCTGTTCATTCTTTGATGATCAGTTATGTACTTTACCACTGTGGAGGAGAGCAGTTCAATCTGTCTGTTCCAAGTATTAACAAAACTGATGCGTATCTGACAAGAATAGTCAGATCTTTTCTGCTACAAACATGTATGCCATGGAGAGGAAAAAAAAATCATGGCACACGTGTGACTTAAAACAATACTTTCATTGCTGCCTATCACATAGCATTAAGTGTAAAATAGTAAAGATAGTCTGTGCATCCTCTCAAAACTTCTTCCAACTTTTGCTGCTTGTCTGCCCAGAAATTTGTTTGGCAACTGACTTGTATGCTGATGGGAAGTTAGTGGAAATTGGATTTCCTGCTTATTTGAAATGTCACTTCAACAAGAGGAGTATTTCAAAGATAAAATTATGGAAAAATGTTTCAAGTCAATCAGAATTTACTATAGTCAATCTCAGATTCTTTTGATATTTTGATAAAAGTGTCCACCTGATTTACTGCTTCTTCAAAAGGCTTTACTTCTAATAAATGAAAATTTTCTGGTGGCTGGAAGGATCCAGCTGGAAAATATCTGTCTGGCAGTCCTGACTTTGATCACTTCATGATGCAGTTGGAAGGTGCAAAGACACATTGCCATAGAGATACCCACCTTTAACTTTCTGAAGTTTGAGAGCTAATGATTACAGCAACATCAACTGTAAAACACACACCAGAAGGATGGATATATGCTTCAGCATCTGGCTGCACTGACTACACCTAACTACAGACCAGCAATGTAGGCTTTTGAGGTCTCATAGTTCTTGCTGAGATACAACCAGCCTCGTACTCAGGAGCCTGACCAGATGCCCAAACACTTCAGTTGTGCCATTATTGTAAAGCACAGGTAGGTGACTTTGGACAACTGGATCAGATCTACAAAGGCTCACTGGCTCCACAAATGGGATTGCAGTGCTTACTGCTGCTCTTCCTTCTCATTTGGTAACTGACTTTTACTTTTTGTAATAATATATTTTGCATTTTTTGTAGAGGTTGCACTGTTAGATCAAAATTCAGGGTGAAAAATAAAATGAGTGATTACTTACTCTTCTTAACATCAGCCATAACATCATTTGTGTTGTTACAGATTTGGCTTTGCTCTCTGTGTTTAATGCTTGCAGATGTGTTCAGTGGCACATACGGAAATGGAAAATCATTCCCTTTGAAGGAAAAGCTGAAGTGGAGCACTAAGGTGAAGAATTTAGCAACCTATCTTTAAATAAATATGGTTTCTGACCTGGTTTGCATCTGAGTCCAAATCAGTCAAAAGAAGCCAAGCAAAATTTTAAATTGGACTAGTAGGCTGCTACTCTATCTGCTGTTATGTTTCTTTTCATGGAGAACCCAGTCATGAGGAGGCATATGAATGAAGTGCTTACCTGATACTACGGTCAGCAACAGAAAAGTAAAGTGAATGACAGTCAGTCATGTGTGTTCTCCTGTACATAAAAATTCACAGAGACTTCTGTACTGCTTCATGCTGTGTGATAAGTAATAATCTCAGATGGAAATGTCTGAAGTCTGCCTTTCAACAGCAGCATTGGCAATCATTAAACCAAGCCATCTTAAATAAGACAGACACTCTTGCAGCTGTTTCATTTTCTAGCATTAGTCTTTTCACTAGAGATCACTTATAAATCCTTGCTGAGTAGAGTGTATTTATTCTATTTCTGTACACAGTCACAGCATCTTCACTAGTCTTCCAAGGATAATAAAATAATTTGTGGTGGGTACCAGTGAAATTACTGTGTTCATACTATAATCTAATTATTTGAGCCTGCATAAAATTTCATTGCAATTTTTAGCAAGTGTCTTCTGCAACAAAGAACTCAAAGTAACTGGCATGCATGAGAAATGGAGGAATATTTATTTGCTGTGAACATATTTTCACTTTCTTAATCTGATAACATGCTTGATAACTACAAAATCATACATTTGTTACTACATGTGGAAATGGGATAAACTTCCTTCTGATATAGGCAAAGTCTTCTTGAGACTTCTGTGTCCCAAGTTCTGAGATGGCCTGATGTGTTTAATGCCATGGCTTTTGCCTCCCCCAAGATGTTTGGCTGCAGATAGAGTTCCTGCTTTGCAATGAGGATTCCTGAACCATCACAGAGGTCACCAAGTGGGAGCAAGCTCCTATCTGACAGCTCCTTGGCTGGAAAGATAGTTCTAATCTAGAGATGAAGATCCCCCTCTGGAGAAAAATGGGAACTATGCACAGAGTTGCTTTTAGTTATAATCCGAAAAATTCCAAATGTATATTCCTTAGTAGGCTTATGGTAAGTGTTTTGAAGTGATCCTATTTTAAATGTGGTAAGAATGACTGAATCATGTAAGAATGTTTCTGCATACATCATGATTGAAATTAAATCAGATGTAGGGATTAGGGAATGACTTTTTTAATTTTTATTTTTAATGGCAAAGGATATTTATTTGGGCTATTTTCATGAAGTAAAATACACAAATGCCTGTAAATGCAAATGTATTTCATTGGAACTTTTACAGGAAGAACTTTATTTTCAAATATATGTGCCACTTTACTGGAAGCTGCAAGAGGAATTAAACCAAGAAATTTCTAAAACATGAAATATTAAGCATAACTCAGCACTCAGAATTTATGGGTGAATAGCACTTTTTCAGCATTTTATATGCATTCATTGCACATTTTTTAAAAAAAATGATGCTGAAATGGGTCAACAATGCACACTTCTACAAACTCACTACCATTATTGTCACTAGCAAAATGACTTCTCACCTTCTTTCTCATCTTCTAACTTTTTTGAAGGCTTCTTGCCTAAGGTCTCCCTAAAATCAAATTATCCTAATTTAGATCCAAGAAGGATCATTGTGTTTCTGTAGGGTAAAAAAAAATCACTGGACAAGATGCACTTTTCTTTTAGAGTACGCAAGGCAATCTCCCATTTCCGAACAGATTTCTCTGCAAGATTAGTTCACCATGCTGACTGTTAAATTACCTTAAAGGCTATCAGAGCTGTTGTCTCAGCACTACTGTAGATTTAGAGATATGTTGATTCACACTAACTTTGAAAATATGACTTTATCTCGAGGACTTAAAAATGGCTTTCCTTTATTTTTAATGGAAGTTTTCTGAGTAATCTGTGCTTGATACACGGCAGATTCTGTGAAAAACATAATGACTGCAAATTACAGAATGTGTTAGACTGTGCCTTGCTTTACAGCTATATATACAAAAAGAAGGTAGTGTTCCATGGAGCACGTAACATGAGTTCACTGGGACACTGAAAAGATAAGTGAAAGAGAGTTCTTTTAAGGATTAATAAATCAAAAATTACTTCTGCGTATTTCAGAAATCTATATGGCCTGTGATGGGGAATGCATGCAGGAGGTATCATATGTGCTTGTCCTGGTCTTGTATGTATTAGCCGGTGTTGACCATTCTCAGAGATGGTGGCTTGATCTGACCCAGTGCACCTGTTGTTATGTGTTTGCAATCCTGGCTTCCATTGAATCCTGATTTAGCAGAATATTGAAGTGTACGAGTAGAGCCATCCAGATTGACTGGAAAAAACAGAGCAGCAGTTTGACTTTACATTTCTGCAGGGTCATTGCACTCAGAAGAAGTCTAAAACACCCTTGGTGTGGTTATAACCTGTGTCTGGCAGATAAATATAGAACAGATGGTTAGCTCAGTGTTGTTAGAAAGGTCTGGAAGGAAAAGTGGTATTTCCCCAAGAAGAGCTGTATATATGAAGATTTCTTGTTCCAGTAATGTTATGTGGATCTGAAGACTTGAGGCCTAGATTCTGTGAGGAGTACTAATATATTTGTAGTGCCATTACCAAAATAATTGGTGATGCTCTTGTGTTATTCAGTGCAGAGGATCCAGCTATCCATACTGTTACTGCTTCATCACAAGGTTTCTGCAGAGGGGACCAGTGAGCTGTTTTATGTGTGCCCAGAAGTGGGCTTTTTATGTTTGATGACTGTAACAACTACAGACATTTCATTACAGATATATTTTGTTAGGAGGCCTCCCAGCCCGATGTCTCTCATTTACTTTTGGGGAAGCCTTTAAACTTTAGTGGTAACTTGCTATGTAAAGTAAACTGCAATTTTTGGAAAGGACTCTTGGGTGAGAGAGCTGGCCCCTGAAATTGTAGGAAGCCACTTTCTATAACCTGTTTAATTTCATTACAGCTTTGAAAAAGTTTACTGTTGTTCCTCTCTGACTCTACTGATGGGAATCCTAAGCTGCCACCTCTGCTTTCTTGCTTGTATTGAGTGAAGAAGCTCCTAATATATAGCAACATACATAAGTACACAGTGTGGCACTGAATACTGTGTGAATTTCAGACCATTTCTATGATTACTGCCCTCAAGGTTCTCTGCTATCCTACCCACCTTGCAGTTCTTTTATTCACCCCATTTTCTGCAGATTTTAAATAGCCTTGCCTGTGGCATCCCAACAAATGCCCTTCAGCAGTCTTGAACAAATGGGTTTATTAAGTTTCCTTTCTCTAGAAAATCACTTTTATTATTTTATACATTTTTATCAGTGCTCATATTATGGTGACCCAGTACGTTTGGTAAAACGATATTGTTTCATCTTCTGTTCAGTATGACTCAATGTCTTTATTCTTCCATACAACTCTGGCACAGATTTTCAGTACAAGTGCCAATATGATAGGCTTCTGATTATCCAGATCACTTTCCCTGCTCTCTTGGCAGCACATTTCTGCTAGATTATGTCAATCAAGTATTTTTCAGCTTCTCTGAAAACTGAATGTGACTCAGCAAGAAATTTATGGAAGTTACTCTTTTCTACATTGTGATATGCACTTGTGAATAAGTGCAGTATTAAGAGGAAATGCAGCATATTTCTCTGTAGACCTTATCCAAAGACAGTTGTAAAATACAGAGAGATATAAGGGAGATACATAACAGAAAAATCCAGCAATATATTTTTCTGTTATAATCTCATGGACTGAAATGTTAGGTTGTGAATAATTTATGCATAAGAAGTTCTTCAGTTTAGCTGTATGTGATACTGAGTCTAAGCCACTAAAATGAAGAGCTCATGTCTTATAAAAGCTTTGTAGATGAAAATTTTGTCAGTGAATTGGGAATGTTTTATGGCTTTCAGGAACAGGATTTCTAGATAAAGGTGGTTGGAAGGTGTCAAGCTTTGAACTGCCCATGTGATCTCTTGGAGAAAAGATTAATATTCTACAGTTCATGATATGTATATATTTCCTGTTGCTTAATTCTGCAAAAGGCTGAGCATTTGAGCCATGGTAACTTTAACTGTACAGAAGCCCTTTTTGTCTCCTGTGACAAAAAAAGCTCATAAAATTAAACAGATTGCCAAGCTGAGGCTGTGGTGCACAAAATTTAGCTTCTGCAATATAACGTGCATTGAAATTAGGCAGCGGTGTTAACAATTCTTTGGGGAGAGAAAGTGTGGCAGTTAACACTGCATTCAGCAGCAAGAACTTCGCATTTAATTATTGTGTGGAAGTTCATACTATGCATATTCAGAAGCCATGGGGAGAGGATTGGTTGTTGAGATGCTTGAGAGACAGTTGTGTTTCAATATCTGTGGAAAACATAACTATGTATTTTTTTTAATCCTCTCAATATTGTGTTGGTAGTGAGTTGCATAATACATCCTAATGATGGATTATCCTAATGGTGGCCTAAACCGACTATTTTACTCTGTTCAAATAGATGTCAGTACATAAAAACTGGAGTAGCAGTAAAAGCTCTCTGTCGAACATTGGCATGTTGTAATTCTGAGTCTGGAAAGTGACACTTAAATTTGGTGGTGCTTCTCCTTGTTAAGACTGGAATCAAATGTCCAAAAAAAGTACTGTTCCAGAAAACTTTTAATGATTTTTTCCCACACTGTGGTAATAGTGATGAGTAGTACCACAATGATTATTGCTTATTGCATAAGTAATAATTTGTTCTGGTGCAGCAGGCCAGCTGAAGGGCTGTGCAATGCCGTCTTTCCATACTTGTACAAAGCTGATTTGGATTGCAGCTGTATGCAAAAGTTAAACCCTAACATAAGAAATTGATCCTACCAGCATTTAAGTGAGTAAAGTAAGGGCAGTGAAATTAACATGATTGTATTCAAGCTTGTAAGACTAGGTAAATAAGTTTCCAGGTTTGTCTGGGCAATTCTTACTTTTGCAAGGTATG